TCAGTTCTGGATCCGTATCCAAGACATGTCTGGATTGATCAAGTTCAAACTTCACACACACACGGTGCATCATGTCACAAATAGATATGTGCATTTGTTTCATGATCCGCTTAGCAATAGCTGAATAATGGCCATTTTAAGGCCGAAAATGCATTAAAATCACGTATTTTCACAATTCCAGAACCGGATCTCAGTCATGCATGCATGGATTTTGTTCAGATTTAGTACAATGTGTTGTACATATGCAGGTGCATTTCGGTCATGATCTGCTTTGAATGTATATGTCACTCAAATATGAACGGAACGGGGACGTGTCATTGACAATGACTTGTTATCTTATTCATTCCTTGGTATTGAATTACCAATCTTGTATAATATTTATGTTAATGCATCACTTGAAGTTTGAATACTGTATATGTGCAGATGCATGATGCCTTTGTGTTGTTTTAATACTGGCTATCTTGCTTTAATTAAAGTTTCACTGCAATAGCATTCATAAATCTTTAATTGCGTCTTGGGATTATTATAAGGAATACAATTTGTGGAAAATAAATTGTCAATGCTTTTCAGCACTTCTGAAGACTGGCGATTGTTTTTGCTTCTCAGTTTTCTTTGCTATGGCGTTTAAATATTGTTCACTTCTGAATTACTGTGCAGTAAACAAGATAGAATCCTGGCATGCATGCAAATTCAGACCATCAAATATTTCCCAAAACCCTAAGAAAGCACTATAAATGCTTTTCAAGACCCATCAACTACAAACATACTATTGTATATGTATTAGTGGGTAGCTTCTATTAATGCTTTGAGTGCCTTGTTTTTTTTCTGCTTAAATTTGGGTAAATTTGTAAATAGTTTCTGTAATTTTTACTGAATCCTAATTTTGGACCAAACAGACAAAATGTGATATTGCTTTTAGTTTTTAATCAACAAAGTTTTTGCTACATTTCATGTGGAAAACAGCATTTTTATGAAGAACCATTTTGTGGATGGTGTCTGAAGTTTTCTTTGACGCTCAAAGGGTTAAGATACACACATGGTGTACTCCTTTATCCCTGAAGAATCGTTGCCACAAGTGTGACTTATTCGTGTGCTACTTTTCAGTTGGCTCAGACCGAGCATCAAATAGATACAGTGAGGGAAGAGTTTGAGCAAGAACTTGTGAAAATGGAATCTGTCAACGAGGAAGTGATTCGCAGAGTCCAGCTTGAATCCCAACAGAGCAGCAGTGTCATGAGTCGAAAACTGATGATGATGAAAATGAGATTTTCCCAAATCAGGCCAGGTTTGTTAGAAATTGCGGAAGAGTACAAGAGTCTACGTACAATATGCAGTCAGTTTCCTAACATTATTAGAGCCACTGTTCAGCACACCAAGAATGAGGTATATTAATACATCTTCCATCATGCATTGCAATATTTTTATCATACATGTATTGAGAATGCGGTAAAATATGATTTCCCTCAATTAACATACGCATACTACACATACATGCAAATGTATTATACACGTATACTGTTCCATTGTATTGTGGTCACTTTATTTTTGACTGAAATCCAATGAGTGAATTTATGTAAACCAGTAATTCAAATCTCAATGTTGTCATCACACTACATTATTTGTGGGCTATATGTTCACTTCCCATCATGTCTGTTGTATAGATTCAGCACGCCATATCAGAAGTCAGTGAACACAACAAGGAACTGGTTAGGAAGTATCGTAAAGAAATGTCACTGAGGAAAAAATACCACAATGAACTTGTCGAACTGAAAGGTAAGTTGTACAGTACACCTAACTGATCAATAAACATCAGTGGATTCAACACATCACCTGCCAAAAGCTTTAATGGATGGTTGATATGAATGGGAAAAACAGCATCAGACATTCTACACCTAATCTCTATAGATATTGTCACGCTTAGCCTCCACAATGGTTGCTTATTAATGTTAATAAATATATTCATGTGATGTCCATTAGCATCTACAAAAAGTATTTATAGTTTATGGAATGTGATGTTTATCACATACTTCTAGACATGTCTAAAACTACGACTATTGTGTTCATGTGTGTGCATATAAAATATAAATTATTGATGCTTGGTCTGATTTCATTGAACTAAAGTACAATATCATACTATTATGCACTTAAATATGCCTAGTCACACTGTGCATGACTTTTGGTCTGATTTTTAATTGTTTATTTGATGTGTAGGGAATATCAGAGTGTTCTGCCGTGTAAGACCACCCATCAAAGAAGACGGTGTAGGTCTTATGGCTAGAGTTGTTGTCACATACGATACAGATGATGATGGTATACTATATGTACATAACAAAGGAAGGACAAGTTCTTATGAAGTTGACAAAGTATTTACGCCAGCCTCTGTACAACAGGAGGTAAGTTAGCCTAACGAATGATATCATGTTGATGGTCATTTGAATTTATATTATGCGTACTCTTTGTTTATTTTTGTGAAGTTGCACTCTGTAATCATTCCTAAATCGTCATTGGGGTCTTGGGACAATTATATGAAATATTTAATGATATGAATATTTAGGAAATATTTTTTGTATTTTGTCAAACTTTACGTTGCAGTTATTAAGAATAAAGATAAATTTTTGTGATAATACATGTTTTAAAACATTGGCAAATGCAATTTGATCCAACAAACAAATGAGTAGACAATATTGTCTCCAACACTCAAACATGCAAAATTATTGGATGTTTAGTACATATTTCCTCCAATTCAAGGTCCCAAGACCTCAAATGAAACATTAGAAATGATCTCAACTATATGTAAAACAAAAATTGTTGCAATAACGAAATGTGACCAGGTGAATTTGGAAAGAATTTAAAATCCTAATACACATACATGTACTCGACCACGTTAGCGCCCAGGGGCCTCTACTCAAAAAATCATGATTTTTTAGCGGTGGGCGCTAACCCCTCGAAAAAGAATGCAAATGAAAATTTTGATTCATCATGTGACAGATTACGTCTTTGAGGGAAAATCAAATTACGAAATTAGTTGTGTCGTCGTTGATTTTCACAATGAAGAAACAGAAATGATCACAAAACATATGCAGATTTTATTACAATATTAATTACGTACCACCAGAATTTACAAAATTAAAAACATTAGAGTCTGTTGGAACACAGTCGAAGTCAAAATTCTCAAATTATCTCCACTGACGAAGGTGTTGGATCGTACTCAAACTCTCGATGAAAATCACTTTCCACCATGATGCATTTGCAGATTTGACATGCAGCAGTGTCCTTTGACCTAATGGGTCAAGTTGGTTATTAACCAATCAGAATACTGTGTTGTACCAACGCTATTCTTCGGAAATTCCCAAAGACTTTCCGGCAACGCAATGCGGAAGTGAATGATCAATGTCGAAGTACGATCTGTTAGAATTGATTTCAGCGAATAAACGACATGGTTTTTTCCAAAAAAATAGTAACTAGCCATTTTTGAGAGGTAAACTGAATATGGCATGAAATATTTACCGCATTTTACTTGTATTAACAGGTCATTGTCGAAGCGTAGTTTATGCACGGTTACCGTGGTCTGTGCATTCACAACATGTTCACAGCGGTCGATATCCACGCTGTATCATATAAAAACGATTACCAAGATTCGTTACGCAAGACCAAGTTTTAAATTAGTTGCATTTTGAAGGGGTGGGCGCTTTGCCGAATGTGACCCCAAATATGAAAATTGTGCAAAAGTGGGGGGTGGGCACTTGCCCGGGCATGGGCGCTAACGCGATCGAGTACGGTAAGTAATTTTTCTTGATTCACTGTATTCTCATGCCTTTGAATAGTCCCCACACAGTTCATCATACATTTTATCTTTCTGTTCATTAGGTATTTGATGAGATGAAACACTTGGTGATATCCTGTATTGATGGATTTAATGTGTGCATCTTTGCATATGGACAGACTGGATCTGGCAAAACATATACCATGGAAGTGAGTCTTGAGTACACATTTTGCTTTGCCATCCATCGTTTTCTGTCTAAGATCATGGATGATGTAAACAAGTGCATGACAAACATTATCATACTGGTGAACCTTCAAACTGCCCCCCCCCCCCCCTCCTGCTGTAAAAAAAAAAATCTGCAAGTGTGAAAAATATATAGAAACTAAATTTTATCTTAACTTCAAAAACATTTGATTATTTTGCAAATTTCAGCAAGAAGAATGTTTCACTGCAACGCCTGTGACCACACTTGTAAAATAACTGGTATATTAAGATATTGCAAGTTATTCATATTTTTATAATAATTTGCAGGGACCAAAGAATGATCGGGGAATAAATCAGCTATCGCTGCAGTGCTTATTTGCTGAAAGAAAAGAAAAGGACAAAGAATGGAACTATACTATTACCGTTAATGTGATGGAAATATACAATGAAATGTTAAGGTAATTCATTGCATGTCTCTCTTCACTTTATTCAGAGTTTAGTTACCAAATCTTTATTGAGGGTCATTCAATAGCTTCCTTCAGTCAAGAAGATTGGATTACCTTTGTTGACATTTGAGAGGTGTATGTGCACAGACACCGGTAGTCAAATACAAACAGTATCCTATAATATTATTAATTGACCAACACACTTTGTTTGGATTTGGAGTTGATTGTATGCAAGACTGTGTGTGGAGCAACAGGCGAAGACACTATGTAACATGGAATCATTTCTGAATTCCATATGGCAACTGGGGAGTTCATTGTGAAGAATTTTGTTCTATACACTATTCCTTTTATGGTAGCAGTATGCAGTCTAATTTATTTTGACTTAATTACTTCAACAGAGATTTGCTAAGTGATGATCCTACCTTCAAATTAGATATTAAAATGAACCAAGAGGGTGGATTGTACGTGCCAGGATTGATATCATTACCTGTGAATTCTGTTGATGACGTCAATCGATTACTGGATACGGCAAAAGTAAATCGAGCCACTGCCTCTACTAATATGAATGAACACAGTTCCAGATCACATGCTTTGCTTTGTGTTACGGTGACTGGAACAAATAAAACAACTGGTAACAGAACTATAGGTAGGTAGTCATGCATCCCATTATTATTGATGTAATTACATGTTTCTTCTACCCTTGGGTTCCAAGATCAACCCACCAATCTCCATAATAAACCCATTGAGTTGCACTTATTTCACTATATTCTTGCTAGTATTCTCTATTCACCCTTGAGTGTCTATATCAACCCATATTATTTTCTACATTCAACTCTTAGGTTGAATCCCATATATTCCTGCTAGTATTTTCCATTCATCCACATCAACCCCTGGGCTCCCATATCAACCAACTGATTTCCATAATCAACTCATTGAATTAGGCCCATTTCAACAACTTTCTTGCTAGTATTTTCCATTCCTCTACTGAAAACCCTCAGGCTCACAGATCAACCCATCAATATTCATAATCAACCCATTGAATTACACTATTCCAATACATTCTTGATAGTGTTCTCTATTCACCTACTTTAAAACATTTTGGCTCCAAGATCAACCCTTCGAAGTCTGAAATCAACCCATTGAATTAGTTATTCCACTACATTCTTGCTAGTGTTCTCAATTTATTGATTTAAAATCCTTTGGTTCTTCATGTCAACTCATCGATGTCCATAATCAAACTATTGAATTACACTTATTCCACAACATTTTTGGCGGTGTACTTAAAACCCTTTGGCTCCCAGATAAATTCATTCATATTCAACTCATTGAATTATTTCTGTTCCAGTGAAACAATTATAGAAGGTATTATCACAGCATCTTGATCAAGGTCTATATCAGATGTAAAATAATAGATTAGTCTGTTTTTATCAAATCAAGATAGTACAGCACAGAGAAAAATAAATTAATATAAAAATATCAATAATAAAAATATCAAACTGAAATCAACGATCTGCTGATGATTAGACCCAAGAGATTCCCAAAGCCCCAAATCACCAGTGCCTTGAATATTTACTATGATTTGTAGGTAACAATGTTCTTTAATTTTGCTGTAATTTATTTTTTACAAAAAGTAATATATGGATTGACAACTGTAATTGAATTTCAATTATTTGTCGTATATTTTACTTGCAAACCACGGTTAAAATAAATCTACAGTTATTTGGTAATAGGAAAACGTCACTCAATTCTTTTTTCCAATCTAATCTGATCTATGTTTATTTGTAGGTAAATTGAATCTGGTTGATCTAGCCGGTTCTGAGCGTGTCAGTAAATCTGGTGCTGACGGAGCACGGCTTAAAGAAGCTCAGAACATCAACAAATCACTGTCGTCCCTGGGTGATGTCATACATGCACTGAGAAACAAACAAGCACATATTCCGTATCGCAATTCAAAGTTAACTTATTTATTACAGGACTCCCTAGGTAAGTGTATATTCACTGCATGTTATTTATGCTTCATGTGTGTCATGTTTTGCTTTTCAGACTTTATATAAAGACCACCTGTCTCCTAACAAAGGGTGGTTGCAAATGTATGACTGCACTACAATCTACTAACTATGTAATACTCATCATCAGGTGGGGATAGCAAGACACTAATGGTTGTGCAGACATCACCCGTTGAAAAGAATGTTGGTGAAACCATGTCAAGTTTAAGTTTTGCCCAAAGAGTCCGAGCAGTGGAACTTGGGCAGGCTACCAAGAAAGTGGAAAGCGCTGAGATTGCTACTTTGAAAGGCAGACTTGCACAGTATGAGGTAAGGAGCCCAACGCTCTCGCTCTATTTATCTCCTTGGTGATAGCAACTAGCATATTTGGAATTCTCATTTCCTTATATGGTAGGATGAAAATACCCAATGCAGTACAGCAAAATTACGACATGCTGTAACTTGTGGCGTTACAGTGACATATGTTTATTGATAGGAAATATGAAAACAAATTGTTATACCTCAAATTGTCTGCTCATAGTAACATCATTTGATCAGATGTTCATACATTTTACGATTACATAATAAAATCATGGTGTCATTCCTCACTACTTTTTAGTCCCTGTTCGGACGTAGACCGAAAACGGGGGACCTATGGTTTGTCCTGTGTGCGTCCGTGATCACCTGTATCTCGAACATGCATAGACCGATTAAGTTCAAACTTCACTCATACATCACACATTATATGGGACATATGCACATGCATTTTTTTTATGATACGATTAACGATAGCTGAATAGCGGCCATTTTAAGGCTGAAAATGCATCAAAGTCGCACATTTTCACCATTCCGGACCCGGATCTCAGTTATGCATGGACGGATTTTGTTCAAATTTAGTGCATACATTAAACATAATAGGACCTTGATGCAAGTCATTTTTTTTGGGGGGGGGGGGATCGGGTGTCAATGATTTGTTGAATTTGCTATATCCATGCAAAAAAATAACTTAATTATTATTCTTTCCCTTCTTGCAGGATGTACCTACTGTTAGTTATTCTTCACCTGCCAGCAAGGGAACAAATAGAGGCACACCAAACAGATCAACACCGCGAGGCACTCCTAGAAAATAACATTTAATCTTCAGATTTGTAACACGACTATGGAGCAATGAATTATAGTTACCTCAAATATGTGCTAATATAAGTTGAGTACGTAAAATTCAGGACCATTGGCTGATTCTGATCCTCTGATAAGCTGTGTCGTTATACCAATCCAGGTGTACAATTCACTTAATGAGTGCCTTCATGCAATGCAGATCAGTCACAACTTACAGATATACGATATGTGTGAAAAAAGTTGTTCTGCTGACAATATGATTTAATTATTTGCTAGCAGATGGAAAATCATTATCTTCTTTCAAGACCCTAGCAATTCCGTTTTTTCTTATATCCATGTCAATTTCACCTTTGCAGTATTGTGCTTATGATTGGTTTGCTTCATACATGCAATTCAATTCAAGATGGCATCTGATGTTTCAGAAAGGTGCCATCTATAGGCTATTTTTTCTATTACTCTGCATCTATGAATGGCTAGAATAAAATCTAGAAAACTATTTGGAAATAAGAAACCATAAATTCTATATATATATATATATATTTTATATTTATATGATATCTGAAAACATTTATTATAGCTGACAGAATTTTCCTATTGCAATGTGCATTTTGTAGTGTTCAGTATTTAGACGAACTTTGCAATATTTTTCGTCTACATCGTACATGTATCTACCAGTTTTGTAAATATTACAAGATATTTGTTTTCTCAGCAGGACTTTCTTCTATTTCCTGGTAGTTTTAACACAATCATTGCCGCAGGGTTGTGGTTGACAGAATGGTTTTTGTTAGCAATGACTTGGGTTGTTTTTTTGATTATGTATAGGTCTTATTTGTATGTTACCTCTTGTCACTGCCATTCTTAATAATACAATGCTTAGCAAGAGAAATGTGAACTTATTTGACTTGAATTTAAAGAAAGCTTTCTATGATCTCACTGATGGTACATTGTATATAACCAAAATTATGTGGCTGGCTTTTCTTTCTGAAATTCTTTTTCTGTAAAATGTGATCGCTGTACAGAGAATAGGATATATATTATGTAGCTATTGACAATCAAAAACAAATCCTGTGTGACTTAAGGATGTAGTAAACTTTTTTTGGCACATTTTTATCAAAATGAAAATTTTATACTTTATAGAATCCTTAGCTATCTAATTATTTCATAAAAATTTCAGTTCTCTATCATTAATGGAACATGTAGAAAACAGCAGTCATAATTGACTACCGAATCTCTCGTTGTTATGACTAAATTTGAGTTAAATCACAAATCAAATCAAATCACAAAACAAATCACACAGTTGAGTATGCGATATTAGTAGAACATTTTTATGGTTCCTAAAAATCATCTGTCCTTTACATGACTTTCAAAACACAAAATTTCATTTAAAATCTAATTGTAGATATTATGTAATTTACGAAAAAAAACAAGTGAGCATTTCCAAAAAAAAAAGTTATGCAAAATTGCGGTGATATATTTCTCATGTTTGACATTTTTCCCCCAAAAAATTGGGGTATTCCTTTTTAATTTCATAACAATACTTATTTGAATTTTCAATAAAGGTTTTATGAATTTATTTACTCAGCAGTCACATGACCATGTGAAGGTTGCAACTAACATAACAACAATATAGTCTAAAATATATAATTATATAAAGTATGAATCTATCTTAAGTGTGAATGAAGTATAAGTGTTAATTGTCTACTACATCCTTAAAACATGCTTTAGTCTAACAGTTGCAAGTGATTTGTCACAAGCACTGCAAACATGACACTTGCTTTGATTTGATTTGAAAAGAGTGCATTCAGATCAATGACATCACTTCATTCATCAAATCCCAAACAAATATGTCTGTTGAATGAATGCAAACAAACAAAAGTGAGAGGTCTGAGGAGGTTTGTTGGTTTATACAAGTCCTCTGATTTGTTTTGAAATTCTTCTGTCGACCCTTTCTGTCACAAGTAATTCTACAGATTCTCCAGACAAAATTAGAATACTGGCCTGTCGCACAGCTCTGTCGGGATCACTATAATTGAAATTATTAAAATTAATATATCAATTATAGTTGCCATTATTTTTTTTCCCTGTTTGAAAGATGTGTGTAAATAAAAGTATTTTCCTAATATGTCAGTTTATAATTGTACTTCTGTCAACATTTTATCTTGATTTGTATTCAGAAATTTTCCTTGAATTCATTGTCAAATATGTGACTAGTGATTTCTGGCAGCTGATCTCTTGTTGGTGTTTATAGATTGTACAGCTTTTCTTTTCTACGCATGATTTTGCAAAACAGAATTTGAACTCATATTTATAAAACTTTATTTAGTGTTTGATGTTGTATCGGAAGATCTAGTGTGTAGATGTTTGGTGTTACATTTCTCCAATTATGAAATACAAATTCTGTGGCAGTTTGTTCAATTAATCCCCCAATTTTAGTTTTGTTTTTTTATATTTAAATAGTCAATAGATAGTTTTTGTGTTTGTTTGTTTTTTTTTGGAACTTGTGTGAATGTTTTTCTTTTCTTTTACACTTTGATATTTTATACATCTTATTCCATATTTGGTGTGTCAACAATCAAAGGCAAAATCATAAAAAAAAAACACAAATATCATTTATTGTAAAAAAAAAAATGATATATTCCAACATTTTGTTGGTAGAATTTGAGTGACACCATAGTGATATCTTGTGTTAACATAACATTGTCTTAATCTTGGTTTAAAATTTGGATTGTGAAAGTGTAATTATTTAAAACTTACTATTTGTGTTCACCAAATCTTATAAACTTATAAAACTTAAAAGATATTTTTTAATGTCCAGTGATAAGCCCTTGTCTTTAATTGCTGTATTTAGTGATTTAATTTGTCGCCATCTAGTTGAGGTGAAAGTTTCTCGTAACTCCTAAATAATACGGTGTGGTTGTTTAAACGTTTTGAGCTAAATTGCTGAGATCGTGGGGTGGGGTGGGGTGGTTGTTAGTGTTGTTGATCTGGTGGAGTTATTACTATGGATTGTTCTGATTTTGTGACAGACTAATTTTGTTAATTTGGAAAATATTGCAGCAGAGAGTATTTCCCTGGCATCCTTAACACATTTGAAATAGGGATTCGGTGACTTTCACAAAGTTGTGTCCTTGCAAACTTTCCTCATATATAGAATAGCAAACATTGTTTTCACTGACAGGTTGAGATTGTCTCACGAAAACTGCTTTTTTACATGGATTCTGTTTCCTGTTAGCCAGTGCAATAGGACAAAACCAATCTGGTTGCAAGTATACAACTTAAGTGTATGTTTGCATTCGTCTACTTGGTAAATCTGTTAAATATGTTGAGTGCTTTCTCAAGTCGATTTTTATGTCAAGAGCCACAATTTACGATCAATTTTACATGTTTTATTTTTCAGTCAGCTGTCCTATAAAACAAAACAAAACACTAGACATGTAGCCAATTAAATATTCGAATAAAACACGCCCGTTGAGCCAAACATGTTGGCAGTTGAGAAAAGAATTGTAAACATTCTCAAATTCATGTGTAGTGTCTTCCACTTTTCATACTGAAAAAAATTGTGCCAATGTGTTACCATGGCATTGTAGTAGCATTATAAACTGTCACTGCCATATCAGTAAGTTTTCTTCATATTGTTTGTACTATCAATAAATTTCAGCATCCATTCCTTTATATTATATCATACTCACAATTGTATTGTATTGTACAGGTTTTGTATTTGCTGAACCGTGGCCACACAATGATTGACACATCAACTGTTCCATTAACACACTGCCTGCCTTTTTTACCATTTATTTCGGCTATCCACAGAGGCTTTTCAGATGATGTGTTGTCCATCATCAAATGAGATAAAAATGCAATCCATCACCTTGACCAGGTTTATGTATGTAATCACAATTGATTATGTATTGGTATATATTTAAGCAAACTGTGGTACAAATTAGATCAAATTAACCAGATAAGCACTAAAATGTTATTGCTCTAAACCCCCAGATATTTTGCATGCCAACGCTTAACGTGTAAAGACAATGTTTTCTTAGTAATTTTAAACAGCATCACTTCTATACTCCTAATACATCATAAACTGACTGCTGTTCAGGGTAACTATTAATCTGGTTCTTGTTTTGAATACTTTATTCCATCCATGTTGCATTTTCTTTTTACATAATACATATTAATTTTCCTGTACCTGCTTTACTTGTTATTTACAATACCAAAGAAAGACTGTTATCCTCCTGAAATACAAGGGGTATATAGTGAGTGGCCTTAAAATAAAATTGATGTACTTAGAACTAGAATACAGTTATCTTGTGTGTTTGTTTTTTCAAGGAGTTGTCAGAGTCTGGTGTGTTGATTGTAATCTTACATATCCATATCTTTTAATACATTTTTTCAGTGCAAACATTCTATTTCTTGTCAATTTACAATCTACATAAAATAAAGCATATCAGTCGTGTAAGACTTGCAATCTCTATATATACAGTTTAGAATCTTTATAGAGACATTCATGCATTTGTTTACGGGAATAAATGCACGGCCTGAACAAGGGGTCACATGACCAGTTTAAATGTGTCTTTGGAGTTTCAACTTTGTCGCTAACAATGGAAGTCCATGTGGATACACTGAGCTGGGAATCCTGTTCTGAATCCATGGTGAGCAAAATTCCTCCTTCAAACATAAAGACTGATTTTTAACTAAATGTGTGTAGATAAAAGAATTGGTTACTGTTAAATATTACCAGTATGTTGACAAAAGAAAGCTGCCAATTCTTGAAGCTAGTGTGTTTTATGTGTTAACCAATGACCAATCGGTATCCTGTATGAAGAGAAAGTTCTATTCACCAATATTGGATTTGGTGAGCAAAATGCCAGAGGGGAGAGGTACCCCCCCCCCCCAACTGGATTTTATGTGTTAGTGCTCTGCAGCCAGTTGACACCTGAACCCAAAAAGATCGACGGTGAGGGCACTTTTTGGCTCAATAATTGGCGTTTTATGCCAATAAATTGCCTACATTTTACTAAAATTTTAAAATTAGGAATCAGAAAGATCGTCTCGACCGTTAAAATGGAAGTCAAAACAGCGGCAGTACCCAGCCGGGCAAAATTTCGTCTACCAGTATTTTGACGTAATATATGTGTCACATTAATTTACAGTATAGTATTTCGTCCGTACAAACTGTTCAGGACGTGTTTAACCCTTCATTTCGCATTTTGAGTGGCTTGCTTTAGACCTTGTATAGATATATAGTGTTAAAGTTGAACATGGCTAATTTGTAAAAATGCACCATCAAATAAACTGAGTGGTACCCAAATTTGTTTCCATGGAAAAAAGGGACTTTGTGATTGCCCCTAGCGCTGGACATCTCTATTGGTCCATACAATGTGCCTCTACTTGTGTCCATTTTCGTCATTTATGGCTCTTTTTCTGTGAAATTTGTGATTTTCGAAAAATCATAGAAGGAATCTCACAAGAAAGGGACACAAATGACAAAAATGTTCACAAGTGAAGCTATGGTCCTAAAGCATTAAAACACATGGGATACTTGGCTGGTATGTGTGTGTTCTACAAAAACAACCCCTTTTCATGCATAACATTTTATTCTCATTTTTTGATAAAATACGTACTTTTGGGAAAATAAAACAACACAAAGAAGGTGTGTGTTCTTGTTCTGTTCGAACGACTCCATGCTTTTGATGTATTTGGTTGTAAGTGGAACTTCAATAAATATTCTGTTTGCTTGCCCTCCTGCTTTAAAAAAGTTACCCATTTTTGGTTTGCTTTTTTGCGTACATGCGACTTCGATAAGTATACCCTTTGAAGTTTCTCCACATAATTAAGCCAAGTGACCCCCGCCCACCGGGTTTCACAAATACGCCGGGCATTTTGGGAAACAGTTCGATCCAGAATTATTAGAAATGAAACTTACCAGAATTATTATAAATTAAATTGTTTACCATATCGTACGGTGGTCCCAAAATGGAAAATGCAATGCAATAAATAATATCAAGACGGAAATTAGATAATTGACAGATTAATTTTGGCATTTTTGTCTGAAAAATTAATTGTGTTATGTATATATATAAATAAATACAATACATCCAAAATACGTAGTACCAGTGTTATAGTTATCCCAAGTGTGTGTGAATTTGGCTCTGTACTTCATACTCGACACGGTAGGTTCGTTTGCTATTTACGTTGTGAATGGCATTCTTTGCAACCGTTTATAGAGTCCAACGAAATCACTTTGTCGCTAGAGGGCGTGGTCTACAGGAACTTAAATTGCCTTTCTTTTTTGAATCAACGTATTAACTGAAGAATGCCATAAAGAATGCAAACAGAAAGTTAGTTCCACTACTGGATATGTCAATGCTATTCTTAAAAATAATACATGCATTGTGGAAACCTCTATCTCGGCGTTAAATATTCAGGCACTACTACTATTAATACTTGATTTGCAGTCTTCATTCATGCTATGCCTGTTGCCTGTAATTTGTTTGTATTTGGTGTAAAGGCCAGTTTCAGTTTAATATTAATTACACGTTTAGATTTAATGATACCATTGTAAAATACATGGGCCGTTAAGTTGCATGATTCGATGAATGGGTGTCTAATATATATATATATGCATGATCATGATTACAATTAAATTATATGAATGAAATAACAAACCAAATTATAAATTTACGCAGAGATTCGGTGGGTATAAAATATTTTTTTATTGCGAACGAAAAAGCACCCCAACCAGCAGTATTGCATTATATCTCACTGTTTTGTTAACAAAGTAGCAATATTGATAATGAGCTTTCCCACTATAGACTGTTACATTTGAACTATTATGTTGCTATTTTATTTACAGAACAGTAAACTATATTGCAATTCTGTCGATTGTTTTTTTTTCCGTTCACAGTAATATCAGCAAATTCGTGAGACCCACATGGCAACGTTGGTAAACTAAACGCGACTGACGTACAATTATTGAAAAGATCAAAACACACGCACAATGTATAAACGATTTCATGAAAAGAACGATTCACATTATTCAAGGTGCGGAAAAAATCGCACAACAAAAAAAGAACAATAACAACCTAGTATTGGGAAACGTACGTATTATTACTTCGATGGGTTCCTATTTATCTCTTAGTTTGTGATATGTGGGTCATAAAACGTAAACACTAAACATGAATGACATCCTAGGTTTAACTATTGTCATCTAACTACATATGCGCCAGCCAAGGAACGTTTGTTTCGGGTCACCTCTCCAAACTAGTCGGCAATGGGTCACACCAACAAACCGTGTGATTCGGACGATATCTAACTAGAGATTTTGTTAGTCTGAAGTTCAATTCCTACTTTACTTTTTTTTGCAACTGAGTCCATGATGTGTGATGAATGATTCATCCTTCATATATTTGGTTCAAGTGTTTGCAGTGTCTTCAGTTTTCTCACCGAATACAATCGATGAGGGAATTCACGTAGTTCTTGCGGGCTGATAGTGAATATTGTCCACAACTCAGCACCGGTATGTCGCCAAGCAAATGCTATCAGAGAACATTTGACATTATAATGATAATGGGTTTTCAATATTCGCTTTTAACTCAGAAAAGAAAACACAATTTTCCCAAATGTACTAGAATGTATTAAAATATATTTATAGATTTTCCACAGCGGACTGTCATGTCTAACACCTATTAACAACAGTTTTCAATTGCCACAGTAATGGGATTCTGTAAGGTAATCGTTTCCGTCGATATGTCTTTTTCAGTCGCAGTGTTGTGAATAATCGATCCCAATTTGTCACATTGATAGCATAATAATAGCGTCCGATCCAGAAAGACAGACAAACATTGCGCGTTACCATAGACACAGATGTCGGTGGCCATGGTAACGGGATAAGTCAGATGAATTGTTTATTGCCGGGGTTCTAGAATACATTGTATGCATCACATGTAAGACATCAGAAATCGATGGATACGTTGGAATATTTTTTTTCCAAATTTGAAAGATATGGGAGAGAGATTTTTTGTTCATTTTTCATCAATCAAATCCTAGCATGCAGGCCTGAAAACAGTATTATTCTAATAAATATTACTACTTTTATGTTTAATATGATAAAATACGACAGTACGACTACTATATAACTACTGCATTAGTATACAGTAGAATTAATTCAATGTCAACATCGAGCTTTACCTGGTGCTTGAACAAAAAAATGTTTACTTTAAACTTATTCTGGCGTTTACGTTTCTCTACGCACTAATGGGTGTGTAATAAGTATTGTGAACTACCATTGTGAGACGAAATCGTTGCTGGTTCAACGGTGTTACTACGATCGAAGGATCCGGGTCACGAAGAATCCAATCTTACGCGGGACAATGTCGAAATATCTAGTCGTCAGATGTTCGTACAACGGCTAATAAAAAACATAGCCACAAAAGTAATTTCAATTATGATCGCCGTACGACCAATACGTATTTGAATATATATAGGAAAACCCGTACACAAAATCAACGTAACGACTGTTGCCTTGTTGGACCTTATTTGCATATGATTACACAGCTCGACACACGCCGGTGGACACGTCTTAACGCTACTTAGAGTTATTTATACTGTAGCTTGGTAGGTTTGTACCTGTGCTGGTGTCACAAGACTTTGAACTTGTGGCTGCCTTGGTACATTATACATGGCGTGTTGAAACCTAGTTCCCGACCGCCTATATATCGTTTCAACTTGCGAGCCACCATGGCTCCCGGCAGCTCTGGTGTTATGACAAACCTCGACAAACGTGAGTATGCCGTTCACTATTTCAAGTTTACCACTAGGTTTTATTATAGACATATACATTAGTATAAGGTACACACAGACGAATTGAGAGAGACGCGCCTACGTACGTACCCCCACACACAGATACGCGAGTTGTTTACCCGTATATTAGTGTCCATTGTTATACGTGTATTCTTATAAACGACTCATCAAGTTTGGCCCTCCCTTCACAACCTCCGAGTCCGATCGTATATGTGTGTTAATTTCCAAGCTTCGGCACACATTTACTGATCGTGGCTGAATTGTATGTTAACTATACACCATTACGTCCCTTCTTATTTTAATGAACCTAAGACAATATTGTGTTGTTCTTTTGTCTTTCACCCCTACAGTATCCATTAAAAGTTCCTTGGTAACAAGCCTTGTCACGATATCATACCAAGGTTGGGTTGCTTGCATGCATTTATGGCGGTACAGGGTCAAAGTGCTTGACTCGATCGATAGGAAGCCAACACACACACGGGATAATACAGTCGTTACGACTGAAAACTAAAACGTTGTCACGTGGTTTTAAGCTCGGGCAGTTTATTGAGAGTTTCGCTAATAAT